ATTAATCTACAATATAAAAACGTTATTTTTTTTAAAAATACGAAGATGTGTTTTTTTAAATTTATTCTTTCGGTGAGAAATAATTTATGTGAAAAATTTTATATTGAAAGAAAAACAATTGAAATACATAAAAATAACATACCGAGAAATATTCACATATAAATACTAAATATTTGTACAGAGTAATATTGTACGATTATGTAAATTCTTTAACAATTGTCATAAACTTATATTGACATTAAAATATGTGTTACAGTAAAATATAGAGTTGATGAAATAAATTTTTATGTTGATAACATTGAGCTAATTTCGTTAAAAAAAAAAAAAAACTTTACGACTTGAAAATTCTTGTCACGATCATCTTGCTCATACTGTGACTACACTTTAAAAAGTAAAACTTGATCAAGGAATACAGATTACACAAACTCTTGGTAAAGAATTTTTTTTTAAACTGCAAGATATAGATTTACTTCATTCCAATGGAGAAACATTTTTTTTTTGCACTTAAAATAAATTGTATATATTTAATTTTTATAAAATTATGTTTACTACTTACAGTTAAAAATATAAAAATTAATTTTTTTTTTTTTGAATAATTTAGCCTATTTGTTGAATTTCAGCTCTCAAAAAATTTTTTCCTTTTACACCACAAAAGCTCAAATCTTAGGCTTATAATAAAAAAAAACTTTCAATTAAGATTTTAATTTCAAAATTAAAAATTTGAAAACAGTACAATTTTTGACACTAAAAAAAAAAACCAGATGTTTCATAAGGACATTATAAAACGAAGTGCAACCTGCGATCGATGTATGAATCATCACGTGGTTTCCTGTGTACCGGAAGTCCGGCCTACATATCCATGAAATGTTTTTTTTTATGCATCAAATAGTTGTCACAAGAATTTTTTTTTGAAATATATGTATTAGAAAAATAAAAGGATAAAATTAGTTATAAATTTTGGTTATAAAATTGATGAAATAGAACAAAAAAAAAAGAAAAAATAATATATAATTGTATTTCGATACGTATATATGAGAATTGATGTTTTAATGAAAGTTTTATATTTATTTACAAGTTTTATAGGTTACTAATGAAAGCAAATACAGAAAATTATCACACACATGCATTTTTAAATATATAATTTACAACTTGTCACTATATCAAACCGTGACGTCATTTTGTAATCAATTATTTATAAATATAGGCATTTTCGATTAAAATTTCATTTCGAATCAATCCTGGGAACGAATTTATTCAGAATAAAATTTTAATAATTTAAAATGATTAAATTCGAAATGAAATTTTAGATTCAAAAGTATTAAAATCCCGTGCAGAAATTTTGAAAGGGCCCTGGTTGGGCCCACGTCGGGAAGCTTCAAATCTGCATGAACCCAATTGGGACCACAGAATAGCGCCCTACTTCAATCCTATTAAAATCGATTAAAACCAGGGCCCGATCAGGGCCTAGTTTGGCCTCGATTCCCTATTTCAACCAGGTCAGGACCAGATTGGCCAATTTCTGCACGGGATATAACTTTCCGTGTACAAAATTACCCTATCAGGGCCCTAGTAGGGAATGAAACGCCATACCTGATTAGGGCCACATCAGGGCGACCAGAAAATTAGGATTTCCTAATCAGGGCGACATCAGACGCGGTGTTTCATTCCCTAATAGGGAAGCCTAATCCGATCCCGATCTGGGCCCTGGCGAAAATTTCTACTCGGATAAGAATTGATTCATATTAAAAAATAGATTAGTTAATATTATTTTTATCTCATGTTTATAAAGAAGCAGATGTTTAGTAAAGTTATTGATCTCACGGATAATTGGAAAATAAAATTTTTGCTATATGTTTGATATGAAAATGCATTTGTATGTTTTCAGTGAATGAACAGATGAAGCTTGTAAACAGTAAATAATCATTTTTTTTTTTTTTTTTTTTTTTTTTTTATAATGTGTGTGAGGAAAGTAGGTGCGGTGAGAGTAACGCCCCGTTGGTATATATAATTGCTGGTTTCAATGCCCGCCAACATCTGTTTGGTGTATTTTAACCCTTATTTGTCTTGAAGCTATCTATACACTTCAACAAAAAACATTCCATGTATATCTATATTCTTTACATATTGCATGTTGAAAAAAAACCTTTCAAAAATTAAATTTTCACTAAAACCTATAAGTAGAAAATATAAATGAAATATTAATATTTTACTATATAGGAGTAAACGAATTCCTAATTCAGAGAGTACTATCTACCGAAATTATCATTGTTTTAACTATTTAAAAACAATTATTAATTATTTATAACAATAATTTTTTTAATATGATTTTAATAATTAATAATAATTAAAATTATTTTGATTTCTTTTATCATTTAAATCATATAGGGCTAAAATAAGTTTTATTAATCAATAATATTCGTTGGTTCCCAATATAATGTAATATTATTTATAAATATTGTCAACTCACTCTGAATTGCCAGAACGTAACGATTGTAATGAAATTGATTCTTTTTGGTTTTTTTCTCCTTTACAAAATTTTTATAAAAATTTAGTAGAGCATTTCTTCACTGTCAATCGGCTAAACTATATTTGTCGCCAACCTGCGATTTGAGATCGGAAGTCATAGTGGGAAGTGCTTCCTGGGACACATAATCGTCACCCACACCCCTTCCCCCTAACAAAGTAACGCTGCCATTAACTAAAATCTGAAATAAAGTTCTGTTTAAATTTTTGAAAAATAAATTGTTCGATAAAATTTTTATCTTCTAGAACAGAAAATACTTAGTATTCCTTTTTTTTTTTTTTATTCAATCGCCAACTTGGCTCTGACCTGTTTGAAACAGGGAACCGGGGCCAAACTAGGCCCTGGTCGGGCCCCGGTTTTAATCAGGCTGTAATAGGGCTTATTCTATGGCCTCGATCGAGTTTCATGCGATTTTGGAGCTTCCCGGCGTGGGCCCTGCCAGGGCCCTTTCAAAATTTCTGCACGGGAAGAAAAACTTTTCTTTTAATCGAGGAAATAATTTTTTATTAATAAACGCTCAAATAATTAATATTCTTTTATGAAACTGCTTATTGCAATAAATTTGTTATAAAATATATAAATTCATTTCAAAATTATAAACGCTTGCCAAAAGAGTATGAATATTTATTATAAATGCCATAAATTAAAAAGTAATAAAACTAGATAAAAATATAATAAAATAATTATATGAATGCGTAATTTTTGAAATTTTACATAGTATATTGCAAATGATAACAAAAATTATAGTAGAAAAAAAATTAATTGAATGAATTTGAACTTGATTTCATTGAAGTTTATTTATAAATAGACACTTAATTACTTCTATAATTAAAGAAACGGTATATATATGAATAAAATTTTCACTATCGATTATTGTAGTGGATCTTGAGTCATTCATGATCTTTAGCTTATAATCTATATAGGCCTTGTCGCGCTAATAATAGTTTTCTGTCTTTTTGACCCTCGTTTCAGACGTTTTATTTCTTTCAAAAAAAAAAAAAAAATTGCCAAATTATTCCGTTGATACAATGTAATATTTCTTTAATTTAACTATATATTCTATAACTTTTGCTAAATTAAAAAAAAATTTACCTTTCTCACTGAGATTAAAAAAAAAAAACTGGTTAGTGATACAATTAATTTCGACTAATAAATTAGTAGCGGTATAAATTCTTTTACATTATTATATTTTTTTGATTTAATTTATTAAAAAATAAATTCTTTTTATAATAATGAAAATGTTTTGCAATTTTTTTCTTATAATTTATTGTTTCATTGTTTTTAATCAATTTGAAAATTGTTCAATATAGGAAGTGTGTATTTCAATCATATATATATATGATTCATAAGCTAATAGACAGGAGAATTTTTATCATACATTATATACGCGTCAACATTCGCAGATTCTTAAGATGTTAATTGCATCAATTTGCATATAAATCATACTGTATTTTTTCATCGTTGTTTAATAAATTCATTGATATTCATCAATGGATTATATACTTCGCATATGTGTTATCTGAGCTAATTATAATTTTAACATATTCACGTGTCTTTCACTCAGCTGTCAAACTATAATACATTTAAGATTATTTCGCGGATTTTTTTTTTCGTTTAAGACAATATTTTATTTATGTAAAATTTTCTTCAAAATTAAAAATTAAAAATTTGTTAAATTATTTTGTTTAATTTTAGTAAAATTTATTTAAATATTTATACTTTTTTTTAAAAGAAGAAAAAAAAGGTAAGAAAATTTATTAGAACTTGAGGAAATAACAGTTTAAAGTATCATAACAAAAGATGAGATAATCGAAAGTCCCGTGATTGTCTGTGTCACGGGACACTATAAATGTAATGGAATAATCACTGATGAAAGTCATGAGGGAAGATGAGGCAAATAGTTAATTGAATGTCGTGAAAATTCTTCGGAACTTTCAAAGAGTGAGATATAAGTGTCAATTAGATAATTGTCTATAAAAATTTGTTTTCAAAAGAGACAAATTTAATTTTTTTTTTCCATTTTTATTTATCATTATAATCATTCGCTCGAAGTGAATCGATAATATTACTGTCTTATTTATACCGACACGTTTGTAAATGTCGAGTTCCCTGAGCTAAAAGCATCGCTTAGAAAAGCTCATCGCTGCTCAGCCTATTTTCAAAAATAATTTTAAACCATTATGCATTGATCTTTCAATCTTTCATCTTTAAAACTAGTTTTTCATGAAGCATAAATAAAAATTAAATCATTTAAAATAAAATATTAAAATTTAATAAAATATATTTTAAAAAAATGAACTTTTACATAGTTTTAAATTCATTTTTTCAAAAATAGAAAATTATTATAATATTAAAAATAATTTTTTTTTTTAAATTATATAAGGGCAAAAAATGGATATAAATATTTGTAAAGTAAAATATAATGTACTTATATATCAGTTGTATATTTAGTATTCTATAGAAGACATTTACTGACCCTTTGATCCGGAATTACTTTCCCACGATGAAAGTCATCGATTAAACTAAAATCGATAATTACACTTTTAATTTATTTTTTTATTTTGTACATTAACGCGGCTTTTTGATTAACATGTTAATAATTATTTAACAACAACAAAAAAAAAAAAAAAAAAACTCAAAAATTAAGTAGTCCACAACAGTTCGACGCGGCGAGCCGCTAAAGACTGGCCGTTGGTCTGAACCCCACCATATGTTTCGTCACTATATACAGAGACCATGTGTAAACAGGGCAACAGCTGATCGACACTTCTCTAATAATTTAATGATAATGCCTCCATTTTTTCTGATTTTTATGGTAATTTTTATATTTATTTTATATTCAATTCCATTGAAAAGAAATTAAAATTCAAAATAATATATATTTAAAACTTTTTGAAATTTTTATTTTTATTTCCAAATAAATTGTTGCTAAATTAAAATTGAATCTAAAGAATTGGAACCGACATTTTGAATTTTGAAAATCTGTCCAGATTCTTAATCAGCGACTCCGAGAACCCCTAGATACCAAAAATTAAACGTAGAAATAGAAAAAAAAATTGTACGCCATATTGGATCCGCCATTTTGAATTTTAAAATTCTCTTCAGATTCGTAAGCGAACATGAAAACCCATAAAGTTCAAAGCGAATCTGATTTTTAAAAATTCTTATTGAATTTTAAAAATCTGGTACCAAATTTCTAATCCATTTTCTTTTTGAACATTAAAATGGAGTAATTTATAAAATCTATATTTGTAATTTCAATTTTGCAAAATTTGAAAAGATTAGAAATATTATCTGATTTAACAGCAGATTATTATACTATAAGAAAATTGTAAGAAATGTTTTAGAAACAAATTTTTACTTTTGTTCTCTAAGTTGACATTCTACTGTTTACTTATTGATTGTAGAGTTTGCACAGAAAATAAGGTTAGTGGGATATACGATAAAAGTTATTGAAATCATTAAGTTTTACCCATACTTTACAAAAAAAATTACATCTATAAAATTGTATTTGGCTTAAAATTTGGAGGAATGTTTAAAATAAATAGATATTTTTTAAAAAAAATATATTAAACTTGAAAAATTATTAAAATTTGGTTTTATTCACATAAATAAAATAATTCAGATCATGAAAATTCTATAAAAATTTAGATAAGCTTTCGAGTTTTTAACAATAAAATAAATTTACTAACATTTAATAATTTTTCTTTACCGAAAGGTAAGGTACACATGATCATTGGAAGCATATATTTATATATATATATATAATTTCATTAATATAACAATAAGTGTAAAAATTTTAATGACTATTTTTGAGGTAGGTGCAGCATTCTTTACATTGGACTATGTGTCATTCGTATTACTAAAATTCATTAATTTTAACATTTTTCTATAGAAATAATTTTTGTGCATATTTCATATATTGTTTTAATTTCATTTTCGCTATCTTTTATTATTATTTAATAATGGTTTGATGCCCATTGACCATATTATTGGAGTGTCTATATTTATCGTTACACAAGGTTCATCAGAATATGTGTTGGATGAACTGACTAAACCACCTACTTCCAAACAATTATTATCTGAAAAATATTATAAGAAAATTTATATGGAAAACCAGATTTAAATTTGATTAATTAACAGAAAAAATGTTAGTTCTAATCAGTTATACCTAAATTCCATTTTAAGCCAGTTGTTGAAACACTCTTTGCCGGAAAGCCAACGGGTAAAAGACTACACCATGTTTTGCTATTTCTTAAAATATTCGGTATCATTATTTTATGCTCACCTGGTTGCAATAACCATGTGAGCGAACCTTTTGCTATCTGTATGACCTGAAAGCACACATTAAGAAAATGTTTATCAAAAGTATTTGGAAAATTTTTCTTGAAAAATAAATACTAATTGTAATAATAATATACCGGAATGTTAGGTAAAATTTTTTGGCTTTTATGAAGAGTATTAATTCCAGCAATTATTTGGTCCATTCTTCCACTTACTTCGTTAAATACATATACGCACTTTATCTGTTAACAATAAAGATATTAGTGGTATCTTTTGTTTAAATAAAGACTCTAGTAATTCAAAAATTATTCTACTGAAATAATTACTTTGAGATTTTTTTCTTTGCAGTAGACATTAAGTTTTCTCAATGATTTAGTATAATCTGTTTCATCTTGATCTATGGTACAAATGATTTTAACTCCTAGAGATTCTAATATTTTAAGTGTGTCTTCACGTACACTATCCATATCGCCAGTAACAATATCTGGTAAATATTCCTTATGAAGTCCATTTAATACTTTATCTTTATCATCTCCAAGAAATGTTAACCATCTATCAGTTCCAGCATCAACAGTGATTCTAACTTGTGCTGAAAATTCATTAGTATTTATCAAATTCATCAGTCGTTTACATAGTTTCCAAACGCAAATTTAATGTCAGATTTGTAACTCTTAAAACCCTGTATAAAATAAATTCCGCCATTTTGAATTTTGAAAAATTGTCATCGGATTTGCAATCAGTGATTCTGAAAAACTCCGAATTACAAGTTTTAAGGCATAATTTAATACATTTTTTTTTAAATTCCGCCATATTGAATTTCGAAAAATTGTCATTGGATTCGTTATCAGCGAACCTAAAAATCCTCCAATTAATAAGTTTTACGTAAATCTAACGGAGTTTTAAAAATTTATCCGCCATTTTGAATTTTGAAAAACTGAGAACGAATACATGATCAACAACTGCAATAACCTTCGAGTAAGAATTCTCATAAAATTCCATAACAGTCATTGACTAAATTAACAATTTGTTTATATAATTTGTTTATAACAATTTTAGTAAAATATTAACAATTTTGCTACTCAGAAAAAAATCACTAATAATATTTTTCTTAGTTATTATGTTAGTAACTATAGATTTTAAAAATTTATTTTCATTTTTTTATACCTTTTTTCCATAAATTTCTTACAAAATTCGATTCACATTCAATAGGCCTGTTAAGTACAATAACTGCATAACTATTATCTGGGGAAGAATTAAATATTTCTGCAACATCCCATAATTGGAATTTTTTTACATTATTTTCCATTATACTTCTGAAGTTAATTTTTAATTTTTCGTCCTGAAAAGATATAAATGTGTTTTAATTTTATAATTGCAAATTTAATTAAAAAATTTTAATGCTTTTACACTCATTTACGTTGCAAAATTTAGCAAAAGAAGCTAAGAAATACCTATGATATATCTATATAATGAATGTGAAATTTAATAAATATGAATTGTTAATAAATTAGAAAAAAAAATTAAAATTTACTAGAAGATACTTTTCTAAATGGTATATTAAAATTTAAATATCTAACAAATGAACTGAAGTTTAATACTAAAAAGTGAGGTTATCTTTCAGAAATAAGCATGTTCACATTATTCCTGAATGAAATCTCATTTATAATAATACATTGTAATGCTGTATGCTATGTTTACTAATGCTGATGATATAATAATTTACCTTTTGTTTACAAAAATGATGTGCTCGAAAAGTATTTTTGTTATAAACATATAACACCTTATTTGCGTTGTTAGAATGTTTTGTTATGTACACTAATGACCTCATTTTGTTCTTGACATTCATTTCATCACTGTAAAAATATAGTTAAAATAATATAATACATTTCCTCACGAACTATTCGCATGACCTTAGATTTACAATAATTATTCGAATAGGCAAAATTCTATTTCGACCATGCTCACAGTTTCAGTACTTACGCAATACAAAATGAAATAGTAATCAATACCATAAAAATCTGCAGAACACCCTTAATTAATAATTTAGCTTCAATGATGATAATAATTTTTTTCTAATTCCATTATTTTTTGTCAAAAAGTTTCAAACATATTTCAATTAAAAATAATTTTGTTGAAAATGCAAAAATAATTGCAAAATGGAAATTATTTATTATTGAAAATACAGAAATTTTCTGTTTCATAATGCAATAAATTTACAAGGTATGATAAAAATGTACTCTATAATTATGGTTACCATATGTTGAAAATAATACCTACAGATGTTAAATTCTCTTCCTATTCAATGGATGGAAAGTTAGGAAATGATAAGTAGAATTAGGCTTAAAGCGTTTACTGCAGTACCGGTCTATGCTAAACATACGGATGCTGTTAGATTTTACCTAATTCCCATAGTTCCATTTTGCTTTGCAAATAAGTTACTTATTAAAATAATTAAATTCTCTTGTCTCTAACGGACATAACATTAAAATTAAAAAAAAATTAAATTAAACCAGAATACTGTAATTATTCCCTCACCAGATATTTAAGAACATCCCTAGGATATCTTTTTGATTCCGGCGGTTTGTACATCCCTAGTATATCCTGGAGATGTCCCAGGATATCATCTGGATATCTTAGGGATATCAAAACCGCCGGAAGCAAATGAATGTCCCAGGGATATCCTTAAATATCCGGTGAGGGTTGTTAATACTTTTTTTTTACAGTGACTCCAAAAAACAAATACAATAAAATCAACTTACAAACTAAACCCTAACATCAACGGACATTTCAGAATATAGACGTTCTATCCGTATCCGGAAAAGGATACAAATGTCTAGGATATCTATGGATATTTCTAAGACATCCTATGAATATTGTACTTTCCGGTTATCCCTTTGACATCTGTATATCTTGAATATCCGGATGCTGTTACACCCAGAGAAATGATTTATTTGAATTAAATAAAACTTATTTGACTTAAATAAAAAAAGATATTTGTCTCAGAGCCTACTAAACCTTTATTTGTTTCAAATAAAATATTTTATTTAAATTCATATATTTAAATTAAATATATTTTTTATTTGATTCAAATAAATTTCTTATTTGTTACAAATATATTTATATTTAGGACAAATAAAAAAAATTGTTAATGTCAATAAATAATGGTAATGCCTCCTGCAGTACGCAGGCGCGTACTGGTATTTTCATTCCATATGCAAATTACACTTTTGAGGTTATGTTCTTCGACAAACTAAATAAAAACTTTTTCAAAAAAGATAATATATATGATTAATATTCAATTAATTTTTCTATTAAATTTAAAAAATTGTTAACCAAGTTTCTATTGTGTTTATCAATTTAAAAATATAAAAAATACTGAATGTTACGAATGCCTTGTGTTAAAATCGTGTTTGAACAGACGACTGCACGATAAATTCACATACCATCGCGGCGGAGATCTGTAGACGATATACAGTGAAGTGAGTTGCGCAGGCGTGTATTTTTACACCAAATATACTTATATTTGAATCAAATATTCATTTATTTCTTACAAATAAACATTTTGTATTAAATGCAAATAATTTTATATATTTCTGAGAATAAACCACAAATATTTCGATTAAGTATATCAGTTTATTTCTTTTAAATAAAAAATTTATTTGTAACAAATAAAAAAATTTTAAATATACATTTTTAGTTAAAATAAATAAATCATTTCTCTGGGCGTAGGGAATCACATAAAGCAAATTTTTTTTATTCAAATTAAATAATAATAATTAAATAAAGAGTACATGAGGGATTAATTAAATGAAAGCAGCTGCAATTATTAATAGGAAATAATGTTTATTATACAGTGTACATATTTATTAACTTCATTTTATTTTATTTCTGTTATAAATTTTATATTAATAATTATATTATGTCTTGCCGAGCGACAAATGCCTTGATCAGTGTGCGCTTAGACTATAACAATCTCAAAAAGTATAGAAACTTTTGGGTTTTAAAATTTTTTTAACTCCCCTTAACGCGATCACCATTTGATCTATGTCTTAATAAATCAAGGAATCGCCAAAATAGGTTTTGTCGCGCTGAAAACGGCATAATCGTTCGGCACTCACAAATAATAGTACTGTCGAAGTTAAAGTAATTGGCGGTTTATATTTTTCTCTTCATTTTTTTTTCATTTTTTTTTCTTTTTTTTTTTTTTTTTTTTTTTTTTTTTTTTTTATTCCCACTCTCATAACCACTTTGAATTATGACGCACCGCGACCACCACGCCACCATTAATTAGAGCGAATTTTTTCAAAAAAATTGTTTTTTTTTTTTTTCGCGCAATATTCTCACCTCTACGGTTAGTATCCGTTATCATTATTTATATAATATGTGTAATAATATAATATATAAATAATGTCATAATATATATTCATGTATTTATATATATATTTATCTATATATGTATAATGATTACCGCTTCTTATTTTTTTTTTTTTTTTTTTTTTTTTTTTTTTTTTTTTTTTAATGATAAACTATCCGAATGGTACTTTTTTTTCTCCTAGTGGCCATATGTTCGTAATAGGTAATGTTACGTATAGTCCGAATGCGAGTTTTCTAAGTGGGATAAGGAACGTCGTAAAGAGATTTTTTTTAAATTCAAAAAAGAAATCTCCATTTTTTTATACGTTCAAAAAAAAAAAAAAAAATGAGTCGGGAATTATTTGCGCCTTTATATTTATATATTTATATATGATCTTTCTTTTTGAAAATCTGTTTTTCTTAAAATCCTGCATATTTTCTTATTAATTATACAAACTTTAAATTTGCTTATAATGATTCGAGACAATAACTCTTCTTAAAATGTAAAAAATATTTTATATCTGTGCCAAAATTGGAAAAAAAAAATTGTAATTTAAAAAAAAAAGAAGAAAATAGCTCATCACCCACAGAATCACGCTATTAGAGTTTTATAAGGCTTTGAAATTTTTTTTGGCACAGCAGAGTGTTCCGTTTCGTAGGCAAAAATAAAGGATTTAAAAAAAGAAGATGATGTTCTTGTCTCGAGATTTATTTATTTATTTATTTTTTTATTCGTCAGCGAAGATCCCGACAAGCCTGAGTGATTATCTCAAGCAATGCAGGAGGAACAATATATTTTCAACGAAGAAAACATATTTTCTTCGTCCCATTACGACGTTCTTTTCTCTCATATTATTATATATGTCACTCAGACTTTCCTTGGATTTTCCGCAAAAATTTTAATAATCGTATGTTATCTAGCCTGCTAACTTAAGTGATGTTAATTATTATTTCTTATTTTGTATATTTTTTTTATTTTTTATTTATAATATAAACGACACAGTTATCCTGTGTAACTTATAGATAATATATAACCAGAAAATGTTAATAAGAATATAATAATATAATTGCAATAATAAGAACGATTATCATTCATCGTTATTATATATATACCATAATCACCATTTTCGTCACTGATAGTCGTCGTCATATAATCGTCGCAATGATCGCAAGGTTTTACAAATATTTTTCATTTAAAGACGGAGAAAATAAAATTAGAAATGATCATTTTTGCACATGTGCCCTGCGCTCGCGTTCGTTTCTCTCTTCGCCTCTATTAATATCAACAATCTAATCTAATACAGTTTTTTTTTTTCTTACACATTATAGAAAAAATCCATCATTCAAAAAATTTCTTTCAGTGGATTCAAATTTGTGCCGAGATCGAGGGTTTTTTTTTTTCTTTTTTTATCGACTGCAATGTTTTTTCATATAAGCCATTCTAAGCTCACCGTACTGATATGCTAAGATCTCTTCTTCATTCATTCTCTATTTTTCACTTGCAACGCGCCCATTTCGATTTTTTTTTTATTTCTTTTTGTTTGTACTTCCTAGTACATTAATTTTCTTAACATTAATTTTTTGAATTATAAAGATCTTAATATCAAAAACCAGATATCTTTTAGAAATTTATTTTTTACGAATTTTCTGAAATTCTTAAAATTAGTTTATCTGGTATTTGATATTGGGACGCATTTTACTTGAGTAATAATTTAAATAATTGATTCGTCCCTTGTTCATATATTTTATTTATTTTTTTTTATCGTTATTAAAGATTAATACTGTTGTACTTATTTTATAATTATAGTTATACAATTGTAGTTTTCCTTTCCATTATCATACTCTCTCCGCGATCTAATTTTTTTTTTTTTTTTTTTAATATAGAAAGAATTGTGTTTTTATAATCAGAAAAAATTGCTTTTGTATTTTACAAAGTGCTTTCAATCAGAGTGTCAGTAATTCTTACTGGAATATTCAGGGATATATATAGAAAATAGCAATAATTGTCTCAAATTTGGACTTGCGAGCAGTGATTCAAATTTCAGTTTCTCATTGATTTTTTGCAAAATTTTACCATTTTTTGGATTTTAATACAAATTTTATTTTATTTGCAGAAATTAAAAAAAAATGACTGCTTTTTATATTATTTTTTGAAATATAAAATTTAATCAACGAAATTATGAAATTTAAAATCACTTTTTGATAGAGAAATAGGTACAGACAGTTGTTTTTAGAGATAGCGACGATTGTTTATAAAAAAAAGTAACAATTGCAAAATGTGTCGTAATGGGTGCAAAATTTTTTTTTTTTTTTTTTTTGCATTACCCATTTACGGTTTTTTTAGCACCTTTCTTTGAAAAAAGCACGAAGCTTTCAGCCACGCAGCCTAATCGTTACACTGAAAGAAAACAAAATGCAAATTATCTACAATTTTCATAAACTTTAACCTGGTAAAAATTCGCTGAAATTTCTTTTATTTATTATTTTTTCTTTTAATAATAATTTTTTTCTTTTTTTTTCAGCAAATTTTATTCGGCGAAAGTAGAATGCAAAAAAGTAGATTTAAATATTAGCTTCTTTTTTTATGTGTGTCTCATTTGTTTAAATATGTATAATAATATTTTTTTTTTTACTAAGTAGGACATTATGTGTGCATTGGCATAATAGTTAAATATTATCTGTATAATGTTACAGGTTCATCTTATACTATATACAAATTCACTCGACTTCTAGATAGATAAAATTATTTAATTTAGTGAATTCAATAAATTAATTAAATTCATGAAATTAAATA